GAAGAAGAAGAAGAAGAAGAAGAAGAAGAAGAAGAAGAAGAAGAAGAACAAGAACAACAACAACAACAGTAATAATAAAACAAAAGTACTTTTGTATATAAATATATGTTTGAAGGAATATATATTATAATAACTGGAAGCAAATTTACCATTTTTATAACAATTTCAATACATAAAATGTATAGGTATTGTTTATATAAAACAAATAAAATAAAACTGAAAAAAAAAAATCAATGAAACAAGGAGTGAAAAAACATATATGTTTATTGCTATAAATATATGACATGATTTTCATTGAATGATAGCTTATTAACAATTTTATTTTTTGAAAAAAAATAAGAAATTACGAAACAAAGAAAAACATATTTGGTTGCCATGTATTATCTGAGTGGGTACAATGCTATAAACAATTGTGTGCATTTATAAAGATGATTGTTTAAAATGGAACAAATTTGCTGATTTTTTTTTTTTTTTCAATTTTCATGTTCTAAGTGGTAAAACCAAACTACCTTTTCAAAGTTTGTTGGGGGAGACCGGGAAAGGAAGGAAAAAACATTAAGCCATTTATTAGTTAAATTAAATTTTAAATCGTCTAAGACATTGAGTAAAATAAGTGCATCAAAGTTGGTTTTTCAATGTCAATGGGAGAGCACTAAAGTAAATATATTCCTCTGCCCACGGTGAGCAGTGCCCACTAGTTTGTTTTATATGAAAAACGTATTTTGAGAATACGTTTTTCAATTAAATTTAATTGAAAAACGTATTCTCAAAATACGTCTTTCATATAAAACAAACTAGTGGGCACTGTCCACCGTGGACAGGTAAGCGGGACTGAGCACTAAAGATCTAAAGATGCTCTTATAGAAGATAGACATGGAGATATTTTAGTCTTTTCTTAAAGATAAAAAAAAAAATAAAATTAGTCCACATAAGTAGACACGTAAGCATCTGGTCTGTCGCCCTCCCTCGCACAAACAACTTGGAGGAATTCGATCGAAAAGCTTTTAGCGGCGAATGGACCTTAGGCCCAGGCAGAGGCAAACATTTTCCGGCTTCACCAGCGGCGAGGTATATGCTTTTAACATCATCTTTGTTTTTTTTTTTCTTTTTAATAAGTCAAAATTGTTTAACCTATGTCGATCAAAGATTTCTAGGTTGATCCCTCGTTCGATTGCTCCCTTCAGTAGCGAATATTTTGTGTTTTTTATAGTTTACCAGTGTTTGGATGCTATTGAACAATTACGGTGGATTCTGTGTCGAGATTTCATCTTATGCTGAGCCAGACTGACTGTAGGCCTTAGTTTTATTGTATTTGAGTGATTTCAATGGCATGTGATATTTTTTTTGTTTCGCATTGGCAAGGCCAGGGATGTTGTTCATAACCAGTTAATGATGTGCTTGTAAATTGCATATTGGTGTGAATAGAAGCAATGGACGAGGGATGGTGCTGATAAGTTGATTACAAATTATGCTCATTCCGTGAATTGTTTATTTTCATCATTCTTAAAAGCTCTTGATACCATGTCGAAATTCACAATTGAATATTCGTAGAAGGAAGAGAGAATTTGAGATCGGATACTTGTGTTGATTTGAATTGGGTATAGAACCTGGTGGATGGGAGAGAAAAAGTAAAAGGGTCGCTTGCCGCGTGGATGGGTAGGGAAGAAAAGTGAGAAAAAAGAAAGTGTACCTTTAATAAAACTAAGCCACTCAAACAATAAAAGAAAAAAAAATGCGTGCATGATGACACTAAATTCAGTATCGAATTGTCTCTGTAGTATGTGAAAATGGTTAATGAGACATTGGCCAGCGTGAAATTATGTTAAAATTTGCATGTTGTAAAGAATTCGAATATCAGTACTTACTTGAAAAGTAACCTGTGTCTCCAAGGAGACAGGTGCAGAGAATGCAGCACTCGCTTACTGAATTTAAAGAACGAGCTCTGGACGGCGATTACTGTAAAAAATTGGCAGGAATTTTCAAGTGAGTCGTAATCGAATTTTAGCGTTTCCGTAAAACATCGCCTGGACTAACTTCATTTTATTGGTATATTGGCAGTCGTTCAAGTGGTCGTGCAGGAAAACCTGCGATAAGTTGGACTGAGGTGTTTTATACTTTGTATTTTCTCGATGTACTATTACGTTACTTTCAGGAGTGTGTGCCAATACTTAATGTGATCAGCTCATAGTGTCCACCTGGATAAGTAAACAAAGCCTGGTTTCTTCAAGCGAATATTTCTGCTTCTAATTCTGCATATATTGTTTTTTTCAGCATTTTGCTTCTATGTGCTAGCATTCACAGTTTCTAATTACCACTTGACCCTTCCTCGACCACTTGTTTGGTCTCTGATGGAACCTGTTATCAATTTGTAGATTCGGACTTGGTTCCAGAAGAATCAAATAGGACTTTTTACAGACACGTCATGCAATGCAGATACCACGCCAGCTGTTCCACCTAAAGCGCTCACTCAGTCTACAGAAACTGGGAATCTGAAATTGCTCGAAGGTGCGTGTAACATTCTAAACTTACTTTTAATGGAAGTACTCTTTGAATTCACCCATGAGTTCTTGTACCCCATGTTTTAAATACCGGTTCGTACCGGCCGGTATTACCGGTAATACGGGATACCGGTGGTCCGACCGGTACATTTACACTCAAAATACCGTTTTGGCCAAAAT